CTCTCTCTCTCTCTCTCTCTCTCTCGTCTGTCTCTCTCTGTCTCTCTCTCTCATCTCTCTCTCTCCTCTCTCTCTCTCTCTGTCTCTCTCTCTCATCTCTCTCTCTCTCTCTCTCTCTCTCTCTCTCTCTCTCTCCAGGTGTAGTGAGAACTCTCCACAGCCTGTTGAAAACCTCCCAGAACACTCTGCAGATTCAGTGCATCGCCCGCTCACAATGTGCTGGTAGGTGAAGTTGATCCTCCATGTTGTGATGCGTATCAGCCTCTGAACAACACTTAGTCCTGAGTGAACATGTGTGTTTGTACCTCTCATGTGTTGCATTCAAGTAACAGAGCAGAGCGTCAGTTTTTATGAAGGAGACAATCTTTAAAAATGTTTCCCAAGTCCTCAAATCCTCTTCTCTCCATTTGGATGAAGACATATTTCTTCTGCTCGTCATCTGAAATTATGGAAAATGTTCTTTAGTGTCGACTTCATCAGATTTGCAGAGAAGTGACTGCGGTGTGAAGTAACGTTAACATTATTATTGTTAGATTATAGAATAAGTGACGCAGTGAGAGCTGCTGTGAATGACACAACAGCTTTAATGTGCACATCTCTACAGCTCAACTCCTCCCCCAAACAATCGAGCTAAATTCCAGCTGATTCCTCCCCCAGGCTCCTGTCCAAACCTGATGATGAGTAGGAGCGATCACGCAGATGTTCGGCCCCTCCCCGTGGCCCTCACCCCCCAGCTGCCCCCCCGAGCTCACCGGCCCCTCTGCATGTCGGTCTCCTCCGACAGCAGCGGACGCTTCAGAGCTCTGGAGACGCAGGAGTGGAAGAACAACCTCAAAGCTCAGGTAGGTCCAGACGGACACGGAGCTCTCCTGCTCCTTCATCGGTAGAAACAAACAAAATAAATAATAATAGAAACTGCACAGAGAGGTTTATAACCATCTACATTCAGTGCTACATAGGAGTGTGCATATTGCTCTGGAGCTTCATCCACAGTGACGACACCAGCGTGTCACACACACACACACACACACACACCTGTGTGAAAAGTCAGATTATCAACGACATGCACGCTCAGCCTTAATCAACATTCAAATGCTTTACAGCTCTTATTTTGCATTTATTCTGTTTACACCGTGTGTGTGACTCCTTATCTTCTGTACAGTAGTGATTACTGTAGAGATCACTCCATGCTCTCACAAGTAGAACGCCAAACTGTGCCATGTTCAAATACACGTGACAACTGGACATCTGGACTTCCGGGGTCTTTGACATGTCAGGACCGGATCTCAGGCGGGTGAAGACCACAAACACTGTGTGTGTGTGTGTGTGTGTGTGTGTGTGTGTGTGTGTGTGTGTGTGTTGCAGATGGAGCAGGCCCACAGTGCAGGAGCAGCCAGCAGCACCGGATCTCTGGAGCGAGCGTCTCTGTTCTGCGCCTCGGTCTCCAGCACGGCGTCCAGCCCGGTGGAGATCCTCAACAAGAGCAAGTCCTCCAGCCGCTTCTCTCTCTTCTCTCCGCCGTGGAACAGCAGCTCCGAGTCGGACTCCAACCCCCCGTCCCGCTCGGGCTCCAAGAAGCTGCGCAACTACAGCCGGAGAGCCGCCACGGGGCCGGCGGGCGCCAGGGGCCCCGACACGCCGGAGCCCAAACCGGGTGGCCCTGAACACTTCCAGTACTCCGAACCCGTCATCTCCAAGGTGACGGACTACATCTACGTCGGGAACCTGAACGCGGCGTACAACGGGCGCACCCTGTGCCGCAACAACATCGACGGCATCATCGACATGAGCAGCGTGCCGGGAGAGCCGGGCCCCAGCCTCAACCTCGTACCGTGCACCTGCTCGCGCGGCGCCCGCCACAGCTGGTCCCGCCTCAAGGTGGACATCGGAGACGTGCCGGAGCTGAAGCAGCGCTGCTTCGAGGACATCAACGAGTGCATCGACGCCTCCACCGAGAAGAGGAAGCGCGTCCTGGTGCACTGTCGAGACGGCTTCTCTCTGGCGCCGACGTGCATCATCCAGTACCTGATGGTGAAACAGAACATGAGGCTGATCGCCGCCTACGAGCTGCTGAGGGCCAAGTACCCGGTGAACATCAGGGAGTGCCACCAGAACGTGCTGGTGAGCCTGGAGAGGGCGCTGCGGCCCGGAGGCAACACCGACCCCGAGTGCTTCAAACAGGCTATTTCACGCAAGGTGGCGTGGACCTGACTCTGAGACTCTGAGGCTCTGAGGCTCTGAGACTGAGACTCTGACTCTGAGACTCTGAGACTCTGAGACTCTGAGACTCTGAGACTCTGAGACTCAGAGACTCTGACTCTGAGACTCTGAGACTGAGACTCTGACTCTGAGACTCTGACTCTGAGACTCTGACTCGGAGACTCTGACTCGGAGACTCTTAGACGGAGACTCTGAGACTCTGACTCGGAGACTCTGAGACTCTGACTCGGAGACTCTGAGACTCGGAGACTCTCTGTACACCCTCACCCTCCCGTGGTAACCGTGGTAACCCCGTGGTCCACTGATATCATTGTCCCCACTTGAGTTCAGTGGTTGTAAAAGTTATGAATTTTGATGTATTTCCTCTTCAAATACCTGTGAATGTGACCGGCTGTGACGCCCCCCCCCCCCCCCCCCCCCCCCTATTCTCAGAAACAGGAGACGCAATAGACTTCACTGTAACATGCGCAGCTTCGTGGTATAACGGTGTCGTCGTGTTGGCTGTGTAGTTGATATAGTCCTGCTTCAGTCGTGGTGGTGGTGTGTTTGTAATCAGGGGATCTCAGGAGATTATTGATGTCATTGCAGAACAGCGTGGGACATTACTCACTAGGTTAGTGTGAGGCCTTGTTCACACCTGGCACTGAAATGCATCTTGGTCAGCTGTTCTTTACCTCCAAGATCCAGTTATTAGTGGTTTAAATTATGTGTTATAAGCTGCTCAGAGCTCGTGTTAGCAAGTTAAACGAGTCACAACTTCCTCTTAAAATCTCCTTCAAACTAAAATAGTTGGTCAAGTTTCTTGCCAAAAACTAAATTCTACAAGAACAGACTTGAACACATCATGATAATGGTTTTATTTACTCATAATCTAACTCGATGCATCCTCCATTAGCGTTAGCCGTTAGCTCAGTCAGAGCCAAGGAGGACTGCTGTTGAGTTGTTTTATGAAGTGTGTGGTACTAGTTTCTCCGACGCCATGTTGAGAGCCACATGGAGTCAATCCTACCGTTATGACCTCGACAGAATCACTCACAGGTGGATTATTATCTTTCCTTCAAACACAGTTGGGACCTGTCGGCTGAAACAAGAGCTTTCAGAGAGCCGAACCGTTCTCGTGGTGGTGCTTGTTCCTCTGGAGCCTGACCTCTTTCCTCTCACATAAGAACTAAAGTTAAAGTGAAGCAGAAACACTGGAGTCACAGGAGATGCACCTCTAGAAGTATTTCTGATGCCAGGTGTGAACTTGCAGTCAGTTTTCTTTCTAAAGGTATATTTTGCTGTTTGTTTGGATGTTGTAGTCGTTGTAGTCGGTGGGGAAACAGAGACTCTGTACGTGTGAGGACGTACATCGACCACCACTGACTGGATTACTCTACGGTGAATCTGATTCTATCTCAACAGGACGCACGTTTCAAATGTGACTGTTTCGACCGCTTCACGCCGGTTCTCTTGTTATTCGTCCCTCTGAGTCGTCCTTGATGGAGGAGGAGCGGCCCGACCTCGTCCTCTGTGAGGACCCCTGTAGCCCCGTCCTTTGGTTGAGTCTCTTCGTGGTGCTCAGACTGACTTTGTGACTCTGAAGCCGGGTGGACGTACGTCTCTGTGGATTATCAGTATTACTGTGTCGGTGCCACTAAACTGCCATCTGCAGATTTACACTGCAGGAGATGATTTTGCACTACTCACCGGGTTGTCCAACATGCAAACGATTGCCTTTTTATTTAGTTTGAATTATTGTTTTCTGGGAGCATTCCATGTCACACACGAGGGAGACGTTTACATCACAAACATCACACAATCCTAATCACAACTCTACCCAGGACCACATATTAAATCAGTCATAACAGTACAATTATTATTGTTATTAGTGTTGATTATTCAAAGGTCTCGTTTTGACCACAAAGTCCAAAATATTCAACTTAACTGATATAAAACAGGAAATCAGTGAACACATCACAGCACGTTTGGTGTTCATGCTTCCATAGATGACTGAAGATGAGTTGATTATTATTTGCAGACTTGTTCGTCTGTCTGATGAATAACTACTGAGTCAGTTCATAGTTTCAGCTCCAACGTTCAGTACATGACGGGTTTTCATACTCGACATACAATCCAGCAGGTACTGAGAGGACTAGTCGGGTGAACGACCCGAACGACCCTAACGACCCTAACCCTGGAGGACTGAGTTACAGTCCTTTGAGTACGTCGGGTCATATCAACACACTGAGCTGTAAACAGCAAGAGGCCGTGTGTCGGTACGACCCGTCATTGAGACGCATGTTCTGAATGTTTACATTTACAATAGAATTTATCCTAAAAACTGAATAATATCGACGTATCTCACGTCTTAATGGAAAATGCCTCATTCATAAGGAATATGCTTTACCCGTGTGAAGTTCTTAATCTTGTAATATTACTTAATCAGTCAAACGTTAGTTCACTGATGCCGCTGTGAGTTTGATCTGAACTTTAGCTCCGTGTGGAACTTTGTTTTGCTCAGAGTTAGTTAGCGAGTGAAGCCTCGTTGTGATGGTTCGGTGAGGCAGCGACGTCTAGCTACAGTTAGATAATCGCTCATTCACGAACATACAAACGTCTCCCTGTATGACGGTCCTACTTGTGGATGAAAACTTCTGCCTGCAAAGATCATGCAAATATGTTTTGTGTAAAAAGGACAACAGTAACATTGTAATGGTTTTTATTTAAAGTTACATTTAGTTGTTTTATTTTAGTTGTGATATAGTTTTATTTCATGGCCAGCCTCAGTGGACATCAGCTGTACGGGACGTTTGTCCCGTCGGCACGTTAACGGAGCGTCGGTACGTTAACGGAGCGTTGGTACGTTGGAGACGTGGGAGCTAAACGTGCGCTACCTTCATCTGGAGTCGTCTTGTGACCGTTTGGTGACATTTGCACACTTTGTATGACTTTGAACTCCTCTCGATATGTCGTGAAATTGTTGAATATTTTTTTGGATGTTTTTATTTTTTGAGCGAAAAAAGTACGAACTTGACCATAGTGTAAAGAAGGTCCTTGCTGTAATATATTTCTACCAGTGTTTAACTAATGCAGGCGATGAGACCGAAGAAGAGGATGTATGTATATTTCTCCACATAGCTCATGAGGTGGCACCGTAGTAGACAAAGTATCCGCATATGTTGGTTCATCCCTCGATGTAACGTCCCATCATATCAGTCTGAGTAGGTTTTCTAACTCGTTCTCTCAGGTGATTTCTCAGTGGCTCAGAATGTTCTCAATGAATATGATATTCAGAAATGTGAAGCGATGTTTCTCATGTCATGTTTCTAAAGTCAAATATAATTTGTACTGTTGAAATATTAAAGAAAAGTATGTATTTAAGGCTTGTTTTGGTGCTGACTTATCAAATGAACCGCGCAGCAGAAGTAAAAGTAGAATACTGCCTCGACTTAAACAAAGAGCCACTACGACCGAAACTAAAGCTGGTTTTGAAGGTGCTCAAACCCGATGGACGAGTTTGTTAAATGTTGAGGCATAAAGTTCAACTCTGGTGAACCATGACCTGTGAATTTGCGCTATTGATGAACTGCAAAACATCTGGACAGGGCTGACCTTCTGAGGGTTTATATTATATTATATTAGCTGAAAACTTTGCTCTGCCAGAGTACAAACTGTTCCACAAAAGGTAAAAGTATTATGGTTATGCAGTTTGCATAAGACGGGAGAGGATGTAATACTTCAGTCGGGTTTAATTCTTTGTCTGTGGAATGGTTTGCGTTCCGCTCGCGTTATAAGTAACCCAGAGCGTATTTTTAACTGTTCGATAGCAAAGCCGTACAGAGTTCTGCTTTGAGTCCGTCATCACTATAATTTGCCGTCCACTTCATTAGGTGACGTCAATTCTTTCTATTTCGGCTGCGTCCTCTCACCACGTCCCTGAGACAGGACATGAGGATCTAGTCCTGTATCCCAAAACCCCACAGCAATTTACCCCAAAGCCATAAAGAAATACATTGCAAACACCTAATGAGCAACAACTAACTAGCCTCTGCATTGGAGAGACGTTCATTCGTCTTCTAGACCTCAACAAATTAGCTTGAGATGTTAACTACCAATTTAAAAGTGCAACAACATCAGATTTCTGGTAAAAGCACAGAGCCAACATCAGATTATCCACTTTAATAAAACTACTTTGACTTCATGATGAACCATAACAGTCGTGGTTTCAGAGTCTCAGGGTCTCATTTGTGTATTCGTGGCTTCACATGCTGCAGTTTGTCTGTCACCAGCCGCCATGACTGAACCCTTCCATCTGTTAGATTCACCCTCTCTCAGAGAGAAGCACCAGAGCAGATGCTTCCCTGTTTACTGTCAGGAAAACATTATGATAATGTTTATAACGACTTTCACACTAAAACACAAGGTTTCTCACTTGTGCAAGCTATGGATTTTTATTTATTTATGTTCTTTATGATTTATTTTTCCCATTTTATATGGTATTGATACTGAAGGAAACTTCTTGGCTTATTTGTGCAACTTAAAATCAACCAACGCTACTGCGGTTTATGCCGTTACTACCACTACTGTTAGTACCACTACTGTTACTACCGCTACTGT